TTGGCTGGTCATATTACAATGAAGAATTTAGTTTCACAGTGAACTTAGCTTTGGAGCTGTGGAAATATTTACTGATTCATGTCTCTCACTTGTTGAAAATATCTCTTTTGCATTTGTTACTACAGATGTAAGATAATTTGTGCTTCGTCAATAGCTCCCATTATCACTTAATAAATCCATTTTTGTTTGTAACAGAAAGTGCACTTTATTTTTTGAATTTATCTGGATTAGGTAAAATTTTCTCTTCATGGATTAGAATATGGATGGAAATTGCAAATGGATGATATGGTCTTTGCTGAAATATCAGCTTTATCAAGTGGTCTCTTGTTATTAGATGCTGAATTTGCTTTGAAACACTTCATCTCCTTTCACATTAATGGATCATCTTGGTCCTTGATTTTATGAACTATGTTTGATGCAATTTTACTAAAGTGAAGTTGGTATTAGTTTCTAGAGACAATTGAGAGGAATGAAATGCGTAGCTTGATATGGGTGAATCGTTATGAGATTCAAAACATTGATCGATATCTTTTGTCATAGGATTAAAACTTCTGCATAATTAGAAGAATAACTAGTTCAGCTGCCAATTATTTTTGAATTCATCATCAATTATATTAGATTTTGCATGTGAATGTTTCAATTTATTAACCAGTTTCCTTAGTGTGATGCTTAAGGTGGGAGAGTCGACTCCTAGCTGTTTCCCGGCGAAGATTAGCCTTTGCTGGATCCCCTCGTCTTGAATCTTTGCTTTCACGTTGTCTATAGTGTCCCAGCTCTCAACCTCCAGAGTAATGGTCTTCCCCGTGAGGGTCTTCACGAAGATCTGCATGCCACCGCGGAGACGGAGGACGAGGTGGAGAGTCGACTCCTTCTGGATGTTTAGTCCGCAAGCGTACTGCCGTCCTCGAGGTGCTTGCCTGCGGAGATGAGCCTTTGCTGGTCCGGGGGGATCCCCTCCTTGTCTTGGATCATACCTCCACGACATTATTCTTGGAGTGTAAACAAATAAAGCATCACACTAATGAAACTGGACGAATGCCTTGCGAGCTCAGCTGCGCCTCGTCAGTCAAAAACTGGACGAGGTACAACAGGAAGTTTGCAAATCGAAAGGAGAGCTCGGGGTGGACGGACACCAAGGATCCCCGTTCACCCCCGAGATACAAGAGCAGGCGATCCCGCCACACTTCCGCCTCCCCTCGTTGGACGCGTATGACGGCGCCGCTGACCTAGCGGACCACGTGGCCGCTTTCCGCGCCCAGATGGCGCTGTACGGAACTTCTGACGCTTTAATGTGCAGGGCATTCCCGACGACTCTGTGGGGGCCAGCCCACGCATGGTACAGCGGCCTGAAGCCCGGGACCGTCGCCTCCTTCGATCAGCTCGCCAAGGATTTCGAGCTTAACTTCTTGGCCTACGCCCGACCGAAACCGTACATGGCGCTGCTCCTCGGGCTCAACAAGAAGGAGGACGAGCCCCTCTCCCATTTTGTGAACCGCTTTACGACGCAGATCCGTGGATTATCGGATGCTCACCCCTCTCTCTTAATGCAGACATTCATGACAGGCCTGCGGCCCTCCAGGTTCTTCTGGTCGCTCGTAGAGCGGCCCCCCGCCGCGATCCCCGAAATGCTCCAGCGTGCCAGTCAATTCGTCGCCGCGGAGTCTTGGATAGCTGGGAAGCGGGAGGATCACAAAAACGTCAAATCAGAGCCGTCCCGATAGCTACAACTCGCCGCCTCCCGGCGGAGGACAGACAGACCCGAATCAAGGTCTCCTCTTCCCGCCTTGAATTCATCCCAAACCGAAATATTCCTGCATGAGAAGGGGAAGGGGTTGCTCAAAGACCCTCACCCGATGAGGAACCCGCGCGGGAGCTCACAGACCGTTCAAGGTATTGCCGGTTTCACCGACAGCACGGGCACGACACGGAGCAGTGCTACGAGTTGAAGAAGCAAATCGAGGAGCTTATCCTCAGAGGACACCTCGGCCAGTATCTCCGGCCGAACAAGGAGCAGTCACCTTGACCGGAGGGCCCCGTCGAGCGATGCATCGATGTGATAGCCGGGGGCCCTGCATCAGGGGGAGGCTCCATGTCGGGCAGAAAGGCGTATACCCGAGCCGCTCCTGACGAAGCCTCGGGACACGGGCCCGAGCCCGAGATTACCTTCCCAACCGGAGCTTCCGAGCGCCCCGACCACGACGACGCCTTAGTGATATCGGCCAAGGTAGCCAACGCGCAAGTGAGGAGAATCATGGTCGACATAGGGAGCTCGGCCGATATACTTTACTTCGACGCCTTCCAGAAGCTGGGCTTGGCTAGGGAAAATCTGAGCCCGATATGCTCGACACTCACCGGTTTCACGGGAGATTCGATATCCCCCCTGGGAGCCGTTACTTTGCCCTTGACTCTGGGGAACTCGTCGAGGTCGAAAACGGTGATGACCACTTTCTTGGTGGTCGACCTTCCCACTGCCTACAATGCCATACTCGGCCGGCCGACCCTCAACAAGGTCAGAGCCGTCGTCTCAACCTACTACCAGACCATCAAGTTCCCAACTCATGCTGGAGTTGGGGAAGTCACGGGAAGCCCCTGAGAGTCTAGGCGGTGCTACCTTACCGTCGTCTCATTGGGAAAGAGAGCCAGGACCGAGGTGCCCCTGGAAGACCCACGAGAAACAAAAAAACTGGCCCCTCATCCCGAGCCGAGGGAATTCACTGTTGACGTACCCTTGCGAGAAGCTCGGCCAGACCAGGCGATCAAGATCGGATCGGAGCTGCCCGAGCAGGAGCAGGAACGACTCGTCGGGCTCCTACGGGAAAATGCCGACATCTTTGCCTGGTCCCCATCAGACATGACGGGTGTCGACCCGGAGGTCACGGAGCATCATCTCAATATCCTGCCCGACGCTCGCCCAGTGAAGCAAAAGCCCCGGCGCCAGGCCCCTGACCGACAACGAGCCATACAAGAAGAGGTGGACCAGCTCCTAGTAGCAGGCTTCATAGAAGAAGCCAAATATCCTCGATGGTTGTCCAATGTAGTCCTCGTGAAAAAACACAATGGAAGCTGGAGGATGTGCGTTGACTACACCAGCCTTAATAGTGCGTGCCCTAAAGACTGCTACCCCCTCCCGAAGATCGACCAGCTGGTCGACGCAACAGCTGGGCACGCGCGCCTATCTTTCATGGACGCCTATTCAGGGTACAACCAGATCAGAATGACGCCCGAAGACAGAGAACATACGGCTTTCCTCACCGATCAAGGGGTATACTTCTACAAGGTCATGCCGTTCGGGTTAAAAAATGCTGGGGCTACGTACCAGAGAACGGTGAACAAGATGTTCGCCCATCAGATCGGGAGGAACATGGAGGTCTACGTGGATGATATGATCGTGAAAAGCCAAGAAGCCGAAACGCACCTTGCCGACCTGGCCGAGGCATTCACCACACTGCGCAAGTTCGGCATGCGACTCAACCCCACAAAGTGTGCTTTCGGCGTCACCTCCGGGAAATTCCTCGGGTTTATCGTACACGAGAGAGGAATTGACGCCAACCCAGAGAAGGTTCAAGCAATAATCAACATGCAGTCCCCCCAGACGATTAAAGACCTACAGCAACTTAACGAAAGGCTTGTCGCACTGTCTCGCTTCCTCGCCCGGTCGGGCGATCGCTGCCTCCCGTTCTTCAAGGCGCTCAAAAACCCGAGGAACTTCCAATGGACATCGGAATGCGAGGAGGCCTTCAAACAAATGAAGCAGCACCTGGCCAGCCTCCCCCGCCTCGCCTCTGTCTCTCCTGGCGAGAAGCTGGGCCTCTATTTAGCGGCCTCCCCGCATGCAGTCAGCTCTGTCCTGATTAAAGAAAGCTCCGGCCAACAACTCCCGATCTACTATGTCAGCCACGTCCTGGGTGGACCTGAGGAGCGTTACCCGCCAATAGAAAAACTTGCGCTCGCCCTGGTGCTCTCGGCTCGGAAGCTGCGTCCCTACTTCCAGGCGCACCCGGTGGAGGTCATCACCGGCCAACCTCTTCGGCAGGTCTTAACAAAATTTGATGTTGCAGGTCGGCTCCTCAAATGGGCGGTGGAGCTCGGCGAACATGATATAAGATACGTGCCCAGGACCGCCATTAAAGCCCAGGCGGTAGCCGACTTCATCGCGGAGTTAACTCAGATGGAGGACGGAGACCCCAAGCAAACCCCCGAAGCTTGGACCCTACACGTGGACGGCTCGGCCAACTCAAAGGGTGCCGGCGTGGGGCTGGTCCTCCTTGCCCTTGACGGACGCTCGTTCGAGCGTTCCCTCCGCTTCGGGTTTAAAGCCACCAACAACGAGGCGGAGTACGAGGCGCTCCTAGCCGGACTAAGGCTGGCCCTCGAGATGCAGGTGGCCGCGATACACGTCCTCACCGACTCTCAGCTCGTGGCCGAGCAGCTCAGCGGTGGATATGAAGCTCGGGACCCAACCATGGCGAGATACCTGGCGCGGGTAAGGGACCTAACCGCCAAGTCCCATTACTTTACGTTATCCAACGTTCCGAGGGAGGAAAACGAACGAGCCGACGCGCTAGCTAAGCTGGCGTCGAAGCCGACCTCCGAGGCACGGCCAGAGGTTGAGGAGCTCCCCGCTCGCGCCATTGAGGTGGCGACTACGGCCTCAGGCAGCACGCCGACCACGTGGGTGCAGGAGCTGCTGCGCTTCAAGCGGGATGGAACCCTTCCCCTCGACGAAGCCACGGCTCGGCGCCTACGTCGCACACACACATGGTACACCGAGGAGAGTGGCCAACTTTACAAACGGTCCTTCACCTATCCCCTCCTACGATGCTTAGAGCCTGACGAAGCCCAGACGGTCCTAGCCGAAACCCACGAGGGGGTCTGCGGCGAGCACGTCGGCGGGTGAACCTTGGCGCACAAGATACTCCGCCAAGGCTACTATTGGCCGAACATGTGCTGGGACGCGAAAGCTTACGTGCGGCGGTGCAGGTCGTGCCAACAACACGCCCGCGCGCCCCGACAACCAGCGGTCCCACTCAGCCCCATCGACTGCGCATGGCCATTCGCGCAGTGGGGTTTGGACCTCCTCGGACCCTTCCCAGTGGCTTCCGGACAGCGGAAGTACATAATCGTATGAGTGGACTACTTCACAAAGTGGGTCGAGGCCGAGCCGCTGGCAACGATCACGGAACATCAAGTGGAGAAGTTCGTGTGGAAAAACCTGGTAACTCGGTTCGGGTTACCCTAGGCCATTGTCACGGACAACGGACCTCAGTTCGCCGGCAGAAGGTTCCGGGAATTCTGTGTCGGTCATGGCATTCAACTGAGGTTCAGTTCGGTGGCCCACCCTCAGACGAACGGGTTGGCGGAGGTAACCAACCGATCCATCTTGGACGGACTCAAAAGAAAAGTGTCCGCAGCCCGATCGGTCTGGACAAACGAACTCTCTAGCGTACTATGGTCGCTGCGCACCACTCCTAAGGCCATGACCGGAGAGTCCCCGTACAGCTTGACGTTTGAGACCGAATCCGTCTTGCCACCCGAGATGGCTGTCGCCACCCTTCGGACGAGGAGCTATGACAAAGAAGTCTCGGACGAAGGACTTCGTGCCGGTCTCGACATGCTCGAGGAACGACGCGCTGACGTGCACCTAAAAGCCCTCTCTTACCAGAGAGCCGTCGCGAGGGTCTACAACAAAAAGGTAAGACCCCGACCGATCAAGTTAGGCGATCTAGTCCTACGAAGGGTCGAGGTCAGCGACCCGACCCGAGCTAGGGGGAAGTTGGCCCCCAAGTGGGAGGGACCTTATCGGGTCACCGACGTGGTCCGACCAGGTACTTACCGGCTCACGACAATGAACGACTCTCCCTTGCCAAGAACCTGGAATGTCTGGAACCTTAAGAAGTTTTTTGTCTGAAGTAACGAAACCTTTTTTAAAAGAGGTGTTTTTGCCCAAAAAGGGAGAAGTCAGCAGTCGAAAGAAGAAAAAGTTTTCTTTTGTATTGAAAGCAAGCCCACTTACAAGACCCGACTTACAAAAACCTGACCAACGAACAAAATACAAAACCCCTTTATTTTTGGGGGACCTCTAGGCAATCGTCGAAGGGGACTTCCTCGGGCATGTCCACCCCCCGGTCCTCAGGGTGAGGAGTAAAAGGATCCTCCTCCACCTCGAGACCCGGGTGACGAGCACGGAAACGGGACGTGGCGATACGATATCCATATTCAAAGGATACCCGCCCCGTCCGTGTCAGCCCGAGCTCGAACCCCTCCGACCTCTTGTAGGCCTCGAGGAGCTCCTTGTCTCTCGCGGGTCGAAGACGAGCCTCCTCCGCCAGCACCTCCGAGGCCGTCTTCGCCTCAGCCTCCGCCGCATCCAGCTTTTTACTGAGGGCGCCTGCCTCTGTCTTCAATAGGCGGAGTTCGGTCCGCTCCACCCTCATTAATTTCTGGAGCCCCTCGTTCGCCTCCGAGGCCTCGAGCTCCGACCGGAGGCGCACCGCCTCCGCCTCCAGATCCGTCGCGCGCTTTTCCGCGGCCGCCACGGCCTCTGGGCCGGCCCCGGCTTGAACCTCCGCGATCCGGCGGTGGAGCTCGGCGTTGCGATGGATGAGGCCCCCAATGACTTGCCTGGCGTCACGCACCCTATCAATCAGGGCCACCGCATAGTGGAGACCCTGCATAGAGGGAAACAGGTCAAGAAGGCCAGCATCGGATAGACGAACCAGGA